CAAAACCAGTAAGAAAGACGGTAACCATTTTCAAATTCAAGACGAGCTGTCCTGGGAGGAGATGCGTACTGTATACCCTAAGCTATATGTTATAGCTTGTCGGTATTGTTTCTTAATGGGCACTTCGGTACCAGCGGAACGTATTTTTTCCAAGGCGGATGCCACATTAACCGAAAAAAGGAACAGGTTAACAACAGAGCACATTTCACAACTACTATTTCTTAACTCAATTTTAAATAAATAAATTTATATTCTTTACTGCTATTGCTATTGTTGCTTCTAAAAGGAGTTCATAAAAAATAAATTAAGCGCATTCAAAAAAATCATTTGATTAATCGATGTTTTCCATTTTTCTGCGATTAATTGCAATTAATCTTTAAAGCACCTAAAATAAATCATATGATTAAATAATCGAACAATGATTTTTTTTTGCCATCACTAATAACTACCCAATAAAATGAATATTTATGTGCTTACTCAATTTTAAGCGTCAGGTAAAACCTATATAGTGTAAAACTTTACAGATACGGCTTGCCACGGTTGAAGAAATGCAGCCATGACTTCTAGTTACTAAAAATATATTTAAATATCAATCAAATGAAAGCAAAAACCATCAGCTTGTTTGTCCGATTTTTTTCACAAAATTTCAGCTTTTTTTAAAGTATCTTCCCACTAAAAACAGCATTTTTTGCTGAACAAAAGTTGGCAACACTGGCTCGAACAGTGAAATATTGCACGACAAAATCAGAGTGCTGCAAGCGCTCAAACAAAATGGTGCCATTCTTATATGAAGCACGGCTATGCGCTATTTGTCCTACTCTCTCTCTCATTCTATCTCTCTCTATGGTCTCTCAAATAGCAGCAGCGCACAGAAATTGAAAATTGTTCGCGACTATCCCAGCTCTTTCCTTTTGAGTGAAGGGCATACAGAAATCATAAAAGCGTTTGTCACGCTCATGCAAACAAAATGTAAGCGTTTCGATGGTTATTCGTGGGAAGGGTATGAAAGCGTTGATACGCATAAAGAATATGATTTCGCGACGGGCAAGTACACACACACTTGCAGTCTCTGGAAGCATGTGTGAGCATTTGTGGCCTGTGTGCGTAACTCTTGCTGCTTGAGCAAATTGTAATGCCCAAAATTGACCGTTAATTGGCCTTTGAGGGAGCACATACATTTGCATACATATGTGTATGTATGTATGAGATGGGATGATAATTGTCTGGCGATTCAGTAGTTTGTCAATTTTGTATAGTTTGAATTGTAGAGTGACTGTCAAATGAGCCTTTATGACTTAATCAGTAATTTTGGCAATAAAGATCATTTTTCCGCTGGTTGGTTGGTCTTACGCTTGCAGCACACTGATTTTGTCGTGCAATATTTCACTGTTCGAGCCTCAAGAGACTGAGCCGAGCAAATACGAAGTTGTGTAGTCTCCTCAGCGCATTTTTTCGTCGTTGAAAAAATTTGTTCTAGATGTCTACTCTATGTGTTCTCTGGTTAGTGTTTGTGTATATCACGCGCATATCGAGTTTTTCTTTAAAAAATCGATAGCTACTCCCGATAGTTTGTTATTATTAAAACCACTGACCAGAGAACATATAGACTAGACATGTAGTACAAAGTTTTTCAACACCGAAAAATCTGTCTCCTAGGGCCTATCAATTTCGTATTTGCTCGGCTCTTCACTTTTAGGTCCGAGCTACGAAAATATGCGAAAGCACAATCATTCCGCTTCATGCGCTCGATCTTTAATTATATGTATGTATCTTCTATACCTTTAAAGCTAGAGTTTCCAAATGAATGTTTGAATGTAGGCTCACGTGTATTTTATAGAATTTCGATTTGTGTTAAAATTTACCCTGGAGACTTATAGAGACTTGTGCCTTGGCCAATGGTCGCATTTCAATGTTATAATCACAATCTAAAAGTTTCATGAAGATAGTCCATCGATAAAAAAAAAAAGTTAATAAACAATTAAGTTCCCATAGTAAGCCCACATTTTCTTTGTAAACAGAAGGATGCGAAGAATTATTGAAATATACATTTTCGAAGGGTTCAGGGGATTTCGTAGCGAGCAGTCTCGACTAGAGCTTTCTTACTTGTTTCTTACTCTCTTTCTCTATTTATGCCCTTTCCCCATACCAAGCTATTGAAAGGGTTTGCCACGCTTATGCAAAACGTTAGCGTTTTCTTATCTTCTTATCTAACTAAATAATACGGACAAAATAAATTAAATAATGTTTTTAAGTGCTAATATTTATTAGACATATATGTACATAGTATATTGTATTACAAAATTACATTGCCCTTCGTATTTACGTTATTTGTGGGAATGGTATGAAAGCGTTGACATAAAGAATAAGTTGTCGCTGTGAAATTATGACGGGAAATTTGATGTTGTTGGCCGTCTGTTCTGCACACACATAATTGAATTACCGTTTGCTTTTTTCTTTGCACACAGCGAAACGAATTATATACCCGGACGCATATTTATTCAATTATTTTTCGCTCAATAGAATAGTGTGCTTCTGAGTCATATACGAGCGCACTTAATCATACAATTTTCGATTTGACCTCGGTGCCACAAATCTTAATATGCGCACTGTTAATTCGGATACGCATTTTTGGGACTCATTAGCCCTCTAGTTCATACATACGGACGGACGGACGAACGGACAGGGCTAAATCAACTCGGCTCGTCGCCCTGATCAAGAATACATACACTTTGTGGGGTCTGCCAAATCTAGGGTGACAATCCGTCCTGGAATTTCGGGACATGTCCCGCTTTTGGAGGTAATGTCCCGGTGTCCCGACCTGACACGAAATTGTCCCGGTTTTCAATTGTTTCGATAAAAAAATAGTCATTTTGACAAAATGCAAACTTGTAGAAGTTTGTGTCGAGACAAGACAAGAATTTTGTTTAGAAAAAGAACGCAGATAAGGTGTTACTCGGAAGTATCAAAAATAGCTCAAATCCTGCATGCGATTCCAGCGCACAATGCGCAAATTTCGAAAGGGTCTTTTCTTATAAAATACATAGCGAGACGAAAGGAATAAGTTACTGGTGGAAAATGTGAAAATCATCCATATAGCTCAATTTAATTTTGTGGACATAAAAACATTAAATATTGATGAAAGAAATGTTTTGTAAATATGTTCGGAAAAATAGGCAGTGTGGAGAAGTATAAGTCAGCCAATCATGAATATAATAACAATTAAATATAAGGATGTATTCATATATATGGATTTTCTTCTTTTGGAATTAGTCCTAAGATAATGTAATTATGCTAAATATGAAGAAAGTAAAAGTTGAATTTATGTATGAATCTGTGTGACAAATGATTTATTCAAGATAATTTTTTTTAGAGAGAGAGAGAGAGAGAGAGAGAGAGAGAGGGGGGGGGTAGTTCTTCACAGTCCCGGAATGGGCTCCGGTCTAGATGGTCACCCTAGCCAAATCTATTTCTGCCTGTGACATACATTTAACAAAACCATTATACCTTGATTTCCGATTGTAAATGCGTTCAGTGTAACACACAGCACTATATGTCCTATAACACTTAGACACTTGAATAATAGCAATAGCAATAACGATATCATGAAAAAGGATAGGAAAGGAAAGGAAAGGAAAAAGTTTATGGACAACTTCTTAATAAATTGAACATTTAAAATCAATACTACATATAGACGTACATATATAAATTTGTATATTAATACATATGTATGTATAAGCGAGAAGACATATCTTATCCTTGAAGATCTAACTCGGTATGTCAAGGAAGAAAAAGGCAACATTTACTGAGTAATAAACAATATTAGAGGAACTTGAATTTGGCGAACTAAAGCCAAATATTTATTAAGATATTTATTAATTTCTTTCAATATTATGCCAGTTCATTAGGGTGACCATCTGGGCCGGAGCCCATTCCGGGACTGTCAACAATAACTTTTAAAAATTAAATCACATATGTATGTATATGTAAATATACATAAGTACGTAAAAAAAAACAAAAGTTCAAATATTTGTTATGCTTTCAAAATGTTAAGTAAGCAGTTTCCACGTATGTAAATATGTATGTACATATGTATATACATATGTATACATATGTATATACATTCATAAAGGTGTGTAATACATGACATACGTATTTACATGTACTATACGAGTAAGCTTGTTTGTAAGAGGTTGCTAAATATTGGACTCAAATACATACATATGTATATTGTTTTGTACGTCCATACATATCTGTAAGTATACTTACATACATATGTACATGTATGTATGTATGTAAGTATGTATAAAAAAATTTTTAAAACAATTGGTATTGTAGATAAGTGGAATTAATGCTTATAACACTTAAATTCGCCCAATATTCGTAATTTCTTTTGTTCTTACATTCGTTAACTTTGTAATTATATAAACATCCTTTATTTTGATACATACATATATTCTTATGTCTATATGTATATACATATGTATGTATTTCTCGTAATAAAAAACTACTAAAATTTACAATTGCAATAAAAGTTTTGCGGTAATGTTGTTTCAAGAAGTAAATATTTATATATATATATATATATATATATATATATATATATGTATTTATGAACAAATATTTTTTTGTGCTTTTAGGTTCGTACATACTAATACATACATACATATACTACGCGAATAAGTATGTATACTTATATACATTCATACATATATACATTTGTATGTAATACATAGTATGTATGGATGTACATACGATTTTAGGGACTCGTGCACCAACACGAGCACTCAGTACAATCATAATTGTTTATATGAATGCACAATAAATATAAACATACATATATATCATAAGCCATAACTATTAAGTTTTCAAAGAACATTTAACATTTGTGTCCTTATTTTATGCACACTCAAAGCCATATGAATAATTTTAAGCACAGACACAATCGAACAATTAAACACATTTCTCTTTATAAACAGATACATATGTATGTATGTACATACTTTATTATAAGCCAAAAACACAAACACTGGTTTTCAGTAATATTTAGTGGAAGACCATTACCCAGTGACAGGCACCCCGGGACTAAACCTGTTTCCAAATGCTGTTTTAAGAATTGTAGCGAACTTTCTGCTCTTGCGAAATACTTGGAGGATTTTTTGCAGACATTCGGGAAATTCTGTAAATACACGGTCAAAATAATTACATATATTTCGAGGTAAAATATTTATAGCATATTTAAAGGCTTATAATAAAAATTTATATAATTAATTATATATATAATTTTATATATATATATTTTTTTATTTTTTATTTTTATTTTTATTTTTTTTATGCGGAAGTATAAACAAAGCTCGTTTAACTTTAAAATTGTATCTATTTATACGTAATGTTTTTGTATCTTAAATGTTTTTGTTTTCATACATGTATGCCTATGAATAAAAGGCAAAAATTTACAAAATAAGCACAAGAAAAAAATTATATATGTAAGCACCTGCATTTTGATAATTCTGTCTTCGCACTTTTTGTTCAGTGTATGAATGTATACTAACATGTAAGGGTAGCTTAAACCCGAGTCCGTTAAATAAAAAAATATTATAGTAACAACAACAACCAGCTTATAGTTATGTATATAAATCTATGTATATGAAATAATGTAGTAGGAAAAGTATTTAATGAAAGTCAAGTCATGTTCATTTCTTAATTTTATTATTTTAAAACTAAAATCAAACAGCTTTCCAATTGGTGGGATATTTTCTCTTAAATAAAGAAAGAAATTGACATACTCTTAAAACACAGACATAGTGTACAGGGCTGCTATAAGCTTATTCGAGTACATTGCAGAATCGGTTGTCTTCAAGAAGCAATACTAATCAAGTAAATATTTATTTCTTGTCTGATATTCAAATTATTCTAAATATTTAATCTAAGTATGCATTATTACTTTTTAAGTTTTCCCAAATACATAAGCAGGAAGAGGCGTATCAGAACCATTTAGGATATGCATAAATGTATGGTCAGCGTCTCTGAAAGGTATCGACTTTAAATTAGTTTAAAATAATCAAAAACTATTTATGTTTTGTTTATGAGTGCACCCTTTCAGCACCTCCTCTTACCATAGAACACATGGACAGCAAACCTAGAGCAATTTTTTCGCATTTGTTCGGCTCGACATTTTTTGGGTCGGGCAGGGAAAATATAGCACGACAAAATTTTGATTGAGCATGATGGCTAAAGATTTGAAGAGTTCGATATAGTCTTAACTTAGGCTGATGTCAGAGTGGCCGCGATAAGCGATGCGACAATATGGAGCGACGATAAGGGAAAAAAACTCAGAGAGCAATCGGTTGAAATGATTGCTCGTCGAGTTCGTTCTCGTTCGGAGAACAACCGTTTTCATTTTTATACTCATTCACGAAAGTGAATCAGTATATTGGTTTTGTGCAATGTCCGACTTGCTGTCCGTTCGTCTGTCCGTCCGTCCGTCTGTCGGTCTGTCCGTATGAACGCAATCTATTTCGGCGCTATTGAAGCTAGAGACTTGAAATTTGGAACACATACTCGTGTATATCTCCGATTTATAAAGTGTTAAAATTTTCCCGATCCGCCCACTAGGGGCGTGGCAAATCGGAAAATGCATTTTCCGATATACCAGAAATCATGTTAGTTAAAGAGCTAGAAAGCTGAAATTTGGTATGTAGGTCCGTGTTGACCACCCAAGATCACGAGCTATGGTGGATATATCTACGCCCATTGGGGGCGTGGCAAATCGGATAAAACTGTATCTCCTAAAGTTGTAAACCTAGAATGCTGAAATTTTGCACGTCAGCTAATGGTATGATTTTATAAAGTCTAAAGAAATTATTAGTCTATGCCCATTGGGGGCGTGGCAAATCGGACCTGAAGATATAGTGATTTTTTAAATTCTCCTATATTTTGGACACTATTGAGGCAGAGACCTCAAATTTTGTATATATACTCGGACTGATCACCCAAGACCAAAAAGTTTTGTCGGATATATGTCCGCCCACAGGGAGCGTGGCAAACCACAAAAGTTTATATCTCCTAAAGTATAATAGCTAGAAGCTTTAAATTTGGATAGTTGAGTTACTGGTAGCCTCTTCTATCGATTCCCCAAAAATAATTTTTACGCCTCTTTAGGGGCGTGGCATATCGAAAAATACCCTGTAATTTTCACTTTTTTTGAGGTTAAGCATTCAAACTTTGCAGTTAGGGTACCGTTATCTCTTTCTAAAAACTGACCAAAAATGATGTGCCTACGCCCAGTTGGGGCGTGGCAAATCGGAAAAACCTGTATATTCTACAGTATTAGGGCGAAACTTAACTACTAAATTGTTGATGGGATGTGAATGAGTATTCCGCAGTCGGTAACGCCCGACTGCAACGTTCTTACTTGTTTCTATTTTGCTCAGGTTATTCCCCGACCGTTTGATTGAGTTAAATAAAAATAAAAGTCTTTTGAGTATGTATGCGAGTAAACGTATTATTTGCAATCGTGTGATTTGGCAAATACATGCATATTTATGTTATATTCATAATCTGAAAGTTTCATGAAGATCCATCCAGTAAGAGTAGCAAGCTAGTAAAAAGCCTTTTGCTATAATTTTTATTTTGGAAACTCTGTTTGTTGTATTTGTTAATACTTTGTAATACACGAGGTTCTAAAAAAAAAAATAATAAATAAATAAATAATAAAAGTTTGTAGAGCAAATGTACAAGTTAAAGGTACTATGAGCTATCAGTTGAATTAGAGGGTCGTGATGATGATATGAATGATTGAAAGAGAAGCTGTTGAAAGAGACAGTAATGTTTTGAGAAGCTGTTGCAAGAGACAGTAACGTATTGAGAAACTGTTGAGAGAGACAGTAATGAATTGAATAATAGAGAAACTGTTGAAAGAGACAATAATGTGTTGAATAGAAGAGAAATTATTGAAAGAGACAGTAATGAGCTGAATGGAAGAGAAATGGTTGAAAGAGTCAGCAATGAAATGATTGAAGGTGAAATGGTTGAACAAGACAGAAATGAGATGACTGAATGTAGAACGGTTGAAAGAGACAGTATTCTTGAAGGGCTGATAAGAAAAGTGAGAAGAATTTGTCATAGTGCACAAATAAAGATCAAATGTTTTGACGATGGCGTCTGGCACATAAGATAATTTTATGTATGTAGATCAGTTGGAACTATGAGACTGTAAAGAATTATAAAGGAAGTTGAATTAAGTTAAAGAAGATGAATTATGTTAGTTCAAGAATGAAACTAAAACCTGAAGATAAGATTCTGTATGGAAAATAGTTGTCAACAAATTTTAGAGAAGAAACGGGAATGAAATATGGTTGATAATTTTTGAATAAATTGATTTATTGAGTAAAGTTTTTTTTTGTAAGAGTTACACGAGGCCGTGTTAAAGTCAGGATGGCCGTGTCGAAGCGCAAGTAGAATGAATATATTGGCGCGCACTGTAATTGTGCTTTCTACCTACTTGCCTTTTTCCCTTTTTGCATGCCTTCGTACTTGTGCGTGTGTGTTCGATTCCCTTGAACAAAGAATGCGAATACTATGACAGGGTTTTGGTTTGGATTGTTTTGGTCTCACACGAGCGCAGCATGCATAGTAAAGTTGTTGTATTTAGAGTGCAGCATGTGAGTGCGTATGGTTTTGCTATTTTGTGTGTTTCGCGACTGGACGTATCGTGGCTGGTCGGTTATGTTTTGTAGGCGGGAAATGGAATGCAAGCACAAGTGAAAAACATCATTTTGATCACGGCGTGTAGAGCATAAGATATAATGTTAAAAATTTGTTAAGTTAATGATAATGAAAATATATGAATTATGTTAAAATAAAATGTTTGTTAAAGAATGAAGAAAACTCTAGTCGAGACTGCTCGACTAGGAGATACCCTGAACCCTCTAATCTGATATTCTAATCACTCTGCACTTCTTTTCGGCACACATAAATACACACGCATTAGAACGGGCTCTGCTAACTAAGCAGAAATACGTCTTTTACAAAGGTGAGGGTGAGGGGGTGGATATAAGGGTGGGGGGTAAATTACAACAAAAAATCGAAATTATATAAAATACATATAAATCTACATTTAAAATTTGGAAGCTCTAGCTCTAAAGGTGTAGGAGATATAATTAAATAACTAGCTTTCGATAAGATTTTTATCGATAATAAATTATCGGAGGTAGTTATCGATATATAAAGAAAAACTTGATATGCGCGTGATATACACGGACCTAGGAAACAAAATTTCAAGTCTCTAGCTCTTATATCTTCTTCGACGCGTTCATACATACGGACGGACGGACGGACGGACGGACGGACAGACAGACGGACAGGGCCAAATCGACTAAGCTCGTCGCCCTGATCAAGAATATATATACTTTGTGGGGTCTGCCACGCCTCCTTCTGCCTGTTACATACTTTTAACAAAACCATTATACCCTGATTTCCCATTTTCAATGGGTTCAGGGTATAAAAAGAAAAAAGAATAATGACTGAATTTGAAGATTACGTTTGTCAATGTTTAGTAGTGGCTTTGTAAGAAAACTTATCTTTGTTAAACTGAAATTTTTATAATTTGTCAATAAAATGTTTTATGTATATCGTAAAGTACATTTTGGAAGTATTGCACAAGGTCGTGTAATGGTCAGGATGGCTGTGTCGGCGCGTGCAGCTCGTGCTGTGTGTGTGTGTGAGGGATTTCGCAAGAATGTTATTTCATCATAATGTGAAGATTGCATCAGCCTTTATTTGAGATGCGATTGGCTGATGGCATTTTGTAGTTTTGGAAAGTACCGTTTTAGTGCGGCGACAGCGTTACGACGCTGTCGCCGAGCGTGGTTTGATGGTAGGCACAAAAGAATACATAAGTGTGCGACGCAAGTCAGTTCTATGCTAGACTTCGGCCACCGAAACTCGCTGCGCGATTAGAAAATGAATCAGTTTAATGACGCGTTTATATATATAATGCATGGCATCCTATGCGTACACATAATCAAATGTATATACATACATACCTACATATGCATGTGAGCACTTCACAAGATCGACCAAATGCAAATGCTGGACTGTTAAATTGCT